ATTTTCTGTTGTTGATCTGTCTCATGTAGATTTAATTATTAGACCAGCTGAAAGAACCTAGAAGGGTAGAGTGAAATTTCTTCTTTTCCCACAGGACTCTGCCCGGGTATGTTATGCCTAAAGGAGGCAAAGAGGAAGAGAGAAGAGCCTCAGATACTTTTGGAGAGGATGGTGATGAAACCTGTCTGGAAGGGAAGCCAAAGCTCAAGCTCTTTGGTACATAATGTTCAGTAAATGTTTTACATGTAAACAGTTTGCTGAGAAGTAGAGAATCAGAGGAAGGGACTAATAAGAGTGTCAAAGGAAGGGGAGCAGCTAGCTATAGACGTGAATATTAGGGATCCTACTTTGCATTTCAGTCACATACAGGGTAGGGCAAAAGTAGGTCTACAGTTGTATGTGAAACAGAGTTTATTCTTATATTACTAGAGGCCCGGTGCACAAAATTCATTCATGGGTGCAGTCCCTAGGCCTGGCCAGCAATCAAAGTGTGAGCATCTGGTGTGGAAGGGCAGGTCCCAACTGGCCTCTGGGCCCTGGGCAGCACCTGGGCCCCTGCACTCCCGCCTTTGCCTGAGTCATCGGACCCCTGCCCTGCTTTCTCAACCCCTGGGAGCCAGGCAGCAGCCCCATCCCCCACCGCTGGTCATTGTCTGCATGGCCCCACTTGCACCCGCCATGTCCTGGCACCGCCCTGCTCACCTGCTCCACCATCCCACCACGGTCCCATTCTTGTCGGGGCCCATCAGGGCTGGCAGCGCCTCCACTGCTGCCCACTGCCAGCGTCACGCCGCCGATGCCCGCCATGTTCCGTGTTGCCCTCTGGCGGTCAGCGCACATCATAGTGAGTGGTCCAATTTCTGGCCGCAGGGACAATTTGCATATTAGACTTTTATTATATAGGATTGACTAGAGCAGGGGTGGGCAAACTTTTTGACTCGAGGGCCACAATGGGTTCTTAAACTGGACCGGAGGGCCGGAACAAAAGCATGGATGGAGTGTTTGTGTGAACTAATATAAATTCAAAGTAAACATCATTACATAAAAGGGTACGGTCTTTTTTTTTTTTAGTTTTATTCATTTCAAGCGGGCCGTAGTTTGCCCACGGCTGGACTAGAGGCTCAATGTACTAAATTCGTTCATGGGTAGGGTCCCCAGGCCTGTCGGGCCATCAGGGCCAATTGGGGCCTTCTGGCTGCCATCTGGGGCCTTCCTTCATTCCATGCCACCCCCTGGTAGTCAGCATATGTCATAATGAGCGATCAAACTCCCAGTCTCCCAGTCAAACTCCCAAGAGGACACTGTGTATTAGCCTTTTATATATAGAAATGACTGTATTACTTTCCATATAAACAACTGTAAGTCTACTTTTGCCCCACCCTGTATTTGTCTGGAGGCTTATACTGTATTTGCATGTCATGTCTTCATTGCTGAGACAGACATAAAAGCCCACCCAAGGGGTTAAATGAGCACTTTGCTGACAGGTAGCATGCTCAGTCCCTAGTATTTGGGCTCTGGACTCTGCTCAGCTTGTTTAGGTGAAACATTAAAAAAATTTGTGTTCCTTCAGTAACTGAATTTACAAAACAGAGTGGACAATTACTACCTTAATTTGTAGAAATAAACAGGGTATAAAAAGAAAGTGGGGGAAGTTTCGACCAAATATTCCACCTCAAAGGTCATGATGGAATTACTTCTTGACCAACCCCTTAACTTACTCAGCTTTCATATACTAAAAACTTGGGGGTGGGGGTGGGGGAAAAGTTTAGGGGTTTGGAAAAGGACCAAGGAGGCCTTTAAGATCAAAGCAATTTTAGGATAAAAGAGAACAATTACTAAAATTCAACTTCTGAGTTTTCAAAGGTTTACCATAGGGCCAAATTACAACGGCAAGTTCTTGGGGGTAAGATGCACATTTACCAAGTTGAACATTTATAGCCACTGCCATTTGAAGTTTTGAACCTCCATTCATTCGAAACTTGCCCAATACTAAATGACTCTTGTATTTGTCTTGTACTGTTTCTAACTCTTGAAATACTGAACTTTTTAACACTGTATGTCTTAACCCCTCCAACTAAGACTGTACGCTCTTGGAGAGAAATGCCTGTATTATGTCCCTCACCCCCATTCCTTACCAAGAGGGTCAACCTTGAACTCTTTCATTTTTTGGAACGCCCTTGGGATATGCATTCTGAAAACGGACACAACATGTTTTTAGTGAAAATCCAAATGGCCAAGAGCCCAGTCAGTGTAAATACATTCTTTCTACGTCCTCACTTTAATGACAAAAGATTGTTTAGATTTAGAGAAGAAAAAGAGTGGATTCATTTTACAGTGTGTTCAAGTATTGGAAACGAAGCCACTGAGAGTTCTTTGGATTTTATGCGGTATCATGGTGCAAAAGCGCAGGCCTTCCTGTTATCCTCAGAGCTGAACAACAGATTCCAGCTCCCCCCACCCCCATTCCCACCCCCACCCCCACCGCAAGGGCACTTGAAGCTGACAGTTGTTTTGCATCAGGGTCCGAACCACCAGGCTACAAAACAAATGCAAACTCAGGGCTTTTCAGCAGACAGGCCCACAATGAGAGGAGTGGAGCCTCACGCAGAGGAGCAACCCCAGAAAGCAGTGAGACGCCGCCTTTCCAGCATTCCGCGTCTGAAGACAACCCCAAATAACAGAAGCGCATTTGCACATGGACAGAACTGTAAGCCCGAGAGACGGACGGGCACATATGGACTGGGGACATTCAGAGCCAGAGAGCGAGGGCACAAGCCGCGCAGGGTGATGAGAGTCCACCTGCGGCCAGGGTGTTGTGTGCTAGTGAGCATGTGGGCGTGTGACATCTGCTCCGGAACCGGTGGCCGCGCAGTCTGGCCTGGCATGGCTTCCAGGTGGAAGAGAAGCAGGTGGCTCTGTTCCCGGAATGTGAATGAGGGAGCGGAGCCCGGGCTTAGAGAAGACAATGTTCCCTGGCGGGATCTCGTAATCTACGCCAAGGCTTGGACAGGGCATGAAACTCATGATCCAGCTTCCCGGCCCAAGCTTCGGACGGAGCCGGAAGCCCGCAGCGGGGACAGCCTGGATGGCCAGCAAACAGCGCCCCCGGGAAGCCGCGATGTGGGCGCCGCCGCGTCCCCCAGCTAGAGCGGCGGCTCCAAGCTCCCGCCACTCTCCCGCGCAGCCGGCACTACATTCCATTTAAAAATAACACCCACGTGCGCCGGTAAACAAGCGCGCGCGCTCGGCGGTGCCGCGCGCTCCGAGCGAGCCATTGCGGCGCGCGCCCGCCCTCCTCCCGCACGTGTCAGCCGACTCCGCCCGCGCCGTTCGGGCGCCGCTCAGGCTCCTCCCCCTCGGCTGGCCGCGTGCCGCCCCCGAACCCGGAGCGCTTGGCCGCCCTGGCCCTGGGGCCCCCGTGTGATGCCAGGCGTGCTCCGCTGAGTGCCCTCCAACTTTCCTCCTCTGACGCTTGCGCTTCGCGGCGAGACCCATCGCCCCAGGTGTGCTCCTTCCCTCCCGTCCCCACTCCAGCCCCCTCACGTCCCCCCACCGGTTAACTTTCCCTCCGCACGCGGAGGGCTGGCTTCTGGTTTCTCTCCTCCTACCTCCCACCACTCCTTAGAATTTTACTCGATTGTTTATTATTTGCTGGAGGGTGGGGGACGGAGGGGGGCGTCTGGGACCTGGAGAATGGTGGCCGCGGCCAGTCAGCGCGCGGCGTGGCTTGACGAGTAAGGGGCGCAGCGAATGGCTTCGCGGCGTGGAGCTCTGGGGTCACGCGCGTGTGGATACAATGACATCATCTGTTTGTACGCGTCGAACTAGCTTGGTGCAGGGGCGGGGCCGCACGTCACTTGAGTGACGGGCCCCGCGCAAAGCCCGGAGCCGGGAGTCGGCCGGGTGGGCGGGCTTCTGCGTAGGCTGGGTTGGGCTTTTTTTGTGTGTGTACGGGGTGCTGCGGAGCCCGCTCTAGACACTTATCGCCAGTGGGAGGATTTAAGAAAAAAAAAAAAATTAAGTTTTGGTGTGCAAGTAGCATGCAGTGCACAGATGAATGATTTCGGCACTGATCATTGGAAAAAGACTTGTAAAGAGGTCTTTTTTTAAAAAGTAAAAAATGTACAATTAGACGTTTGCAGTCATCTGCAAGTAAGATTCAAATTATTTCCCATTCACAATTGTTCAAAATCTGCTCTTGCGTTTAGGAATGGGGCAATCATTTGCTTTTTTTTGTTTGTTTTTCTGAGTTAGTTACACTTCTTCCCTCGTTTGCCATAAAATCCATGAAAAGTGAAACACGATTGCGGTCCGGCGTCCTGGGTAAGAGATTCAGGGCAAACCTCTTGGTGCCGGATCAAATCTGAGGGCGTCAGCTTATCGAAGTCCTGAAGGCTTGACCAACATCTTCACTTGTCAATATTTCCACGCCGAGGTAACCCTTGCCATCTGCGATCGGCATCTTATCTCGGGTGTTACTTGGTGTCGGGTTCTCAATGGGAATCGGACACCAGGGCGTGCCCAGAGCCCAGCGGAGGACGCTCTGGACGGGGGACCCTGGGCGCCAGGCGAACTGCCCCGAGTCAAGGATACCAATCAGCGGCACTGGGAAAGCGTTTGGGGCTCTGCGCCCCCCCTACCTTCCTCTCCTGGGCCCGCACCGCGCTCTGTTGTCGTTGAGGCTTGGGGGCCGGGAGGAGGAGCCCCGCGGGGAAGGCGGCGGGAGCCCGCCGAGTCCGGGCCCGCGGCGCGCACCGGGACACCCACGCCTGCGGCCCGGCGGAGCGGGGCCGAGCCGCGCAGGCGCGCACGCGAGCGCACAGACACACACGGACACCAGCACACCCGGGCTCGCCGCCCAGCCCTCCCCCTGGGCGGAGACCCACCCGCCCGCCGTCATCTTAGGTTGAGGCACCCTGCGTGTGTCTATAACTTTGTGCTGCTGCCGCGGCCGCCCTGCTCGTGGAAGGGAAGAGGAGGAATGTGGAAGGCGGCGGCGCGCCGGCTGACAGGCGGTTCCTCGGGCGGGCTGCGGTGGCGGCCGGAGCGCCTCTCCTTCGCCAAGGTTGCGCGACCCTCCTTCGCCGTGCCCCGGGCCCGCGCGGGATTGTGCGTCCTCTCCCCCCGTCCCTGAAGGGAAGGAACCGAGGTAGGCGCCGGAGCTGTGCAGCGGGGCGGCCGCCTTCCCGGTGACTCCGGATCTGCTTCCGAGCTGGGCCAGGCGCTTCCCTTTTCCCTCCCCGTGACTCGGTTTTGCGCGCCCCTCTTCTCTCCCGCTAGTGTTTTTAAAGGACTTGAGCGAAGGGGGGAAAACTGTCAAGATGGCAGCAGCGGGAGCAAGGAGGTGATGAACGTGCTGGTCCGGGTTTTCTTGCGACCCGGGAGACTTGGCGCTTCCCGACCTGTTGGAAGATTTATGTTCTGACTTGCCACCTCCCCCCCCCCCCCCCACTCCCGTCCTTTCCTGGGAAAGGGGTGGAGGGCAGAGCGTCCGTGAGAAAATAAACCACACAAACCCCCAAAGTAACCCTTTCTGCTAAGCTCGACCCTTGGCGAACACCCGCCGAGCTGCTTGCCCCCCCTTCTTCCCGTATTTTCTTTTTCGGTGGAAGTGACAAGGGCCCGTCTGCGCTCGGACCCGCGTTCGCCCTCGCGGCCCGCGGGCGAAGAGGGGAGAAGGGAGCTGCCCGCGCCGTCCCCGGCCTTGGGCCCGGCCCCCAAGAGGGGGTTGTCAGGGGGGCGCGGTGCTTGCAGGGCTGGGGGCGCGGAGAGGAGCCCTGCAAAGACGCCAGACTTTGGCCGCGGCGCCGCGGGGAGCACTTGAACGGGCCCGAGCGAAACATAAACAAACGCACGCCCGCCCGAGCTCGGGCTCGAGCGAGGCTGGGCTGCGCCGGCGCCCGTGCTGCCCGCTTTAAAGGCGCGGCCCGCGCCCCTCCCCCGGCCCGCCCCTCCCCCTTCGTCCCCGCCCAGCACCTAGCCCCGGAGACCTGCAGATCTGGCGGCGGCGGGGGGAGGGTGCTCCCCCGTGCGAGCCCGTCGATTCGCCTGCGTCTCCCCCGCGGCCTGACCAGGGGGCGGTGTCTGCTGCGCCAGGTTCGGGACGCACGTCTCCAAGTCTGCCTGCTCCTGGAAGGCGGGCGCGGCGCGGTCGGGAAGCGGCGCGGCGGCGGAAGACTTGCCGAGGACGGGGCTCCAGATCGGGATAACCAACTCCCCTTTTTTCTCCACTCGTACTTCCCCAGGCGGCGGCAGTAGCGGCGGCGGCGCCCGGGAGTCCTAGCCTTCGCAGCGTCCCCGTCCCTCCCCCGTCGCACCCCGCCCGGGCAGAGCAGGGAGCGCGAGAGCCCGAGCCGCGGGGCGGGCGGCGAAGATGGCAGAGGCGCCGGCCTCCCCGGCCCCGCTCTCTCCGCTCGAAGTGGAGCTGGACCCGGAGTTCGAGCCGCAGAGCCGACCGCGCTCCTGTACGTGGCCCCTGCAGAGGCCGGAGCTCCAGGGAAGCCCGGCCAAACCCTCGGGGGAGGCGGCTGCTGATTCCATGATCCCCGAGGAGGAGGACGATGAAGACGACGAGGACGGCGGCGGTCGGGCCGGCTCGGCCATGGCGATCGGCGGCGGCGGGAGCAGCACGCTGGGAGCCGGGATGCTCCTTGAGGACTCGGCTCGGCTGCTGGCTCCCGGAGGGCAGGACCCGGGGTCTGGGCCAGCCCCCGCGGCGGGCGCGCCGAGCGGAGGGACGCAGACGCCGCTGCAGCCTCAGCAGCCACTGCCACCACCGCAGCCGGGGGCGGCTGGGGGCTCCGGGCAGCCGAGGAAATGCTCGTCGCGGCGGAACGCCTGGGGGAACCTGTCCTACGCCGACCTGATCACTCGCGCCATCCAGAGCTCCCCGGACCAACGGCTCACTCTGTCCCAGATTTACGAGTGGATGGTGCGCTGCGTGCCCTACTTCAATGATAAGGGCGACAGCAACAGCTCTGCCGGCTGGAAGGTGCGTACCTACCTCGGGCGGGTGGTGGGACTCGCCGGCCTCCTGCGCAGCGCCAGGCATCCAGTCGCTTCGTGGAGCGCGCCTACCGGCGTTGGGGACTGGGGTTGGCCGAGAGCCTGGGCTGTGGGTCTTTGGGGAGTTTTGTGTGACCCCAAAGGAAGGGTACGTGAGGCGGCCTTGGGGGGGTGGGGGGGCGCGGGGAAGGAGGCTCCCTGGGAAGTGTCGGGCATGGCCAGGTTCTGAGAAGGGGCAAGGGACTTTGGAGAGAGAAGGACAGACGGACAAGAGTGCTTATGCTGTATTCCCGGACAGCGCGGAGCAGGTAGGTCCGAGGCCAACTTTGGAGTAGAATTCACCATAGTGGGGGTGCGGCGAGGACGCTGCGGTTAGAGTGCAGGGACGTGGGGTTGTGTTTGGGACTCGGTGCCTGGAGGAGGAGTTGGATTTGAGTTTTCCAGGAGCTTGGTGCGTTGTCACTAGCTGGGTGAGAACCCTAGGGTCCAAGTTTCGGGCTTGTGGGTGTTAACTTCCACAGGCATGAGGATATCACTAGAAAAACCAGTGGTTGCAAACATTTCCCTGGCGGGCTCTCTGTTAACACCTGTATTGCTCAGAGATGTCTTTTCAGTCAGCCTGCCCGCAGTAGCCTCTGAGATATTCTGGGGTCTGGAAGAGGGCAGCTCTGCCATCTCAACGCGGTGTGGCCGCACCTGCTGCTCCGGCTGAGGCCCGGACTCTGGCCTTGTTTGAGGTGGGGTCCAGGTGTGGAGGCCTGGAGGCTGGGTGCCTCACTTAAGCCTTTGGAAGGGAGGTTTGGTGGCAGGGCTGGGCTGTAATGGCTTCTGCCAATAAGTGAACCTGAAGAGAGGCTCTCTACTGTTCCTTTTCAGCCTCTTGGGGGCACTGGACACGTGGTAGGGAGAGAGGTGTGGAAAGGCCTATGATGTAATGACTTCCTGCAGTTGGGCACCGAAAGAGATTAGCTTCTGTGCCCTTGCTGATACCCAGCTGCTTTGCTCCTCCTGGCCCCTTCCCCCAAGATATGAATGTGTCAGTGCCAGGCAGAAGAGACTCCTGCGCATTTGGAGATACTAATTGCTTATCAGTTGCTTCTATTTGCAATTAGTTGCTGCTTTTTTTTTTTTTTTTAAATTAAAGAGGTAGTTGCTTTCTCCTCCTGTCCCTTTCTTTATTGTCTTTGGGGAGCCCTGTATCTTCCTGGGTTTCAATAGGTGTATAAAATAACATGTAGTGGAGAATTGAAGCGTTGGAGAGGAGGCTGCATATGAAAAACTAATTTAGTGTATTGAGTTTTAATTTGCTTAAAAATAAAATCCTTGTAAAGTTCCTTAAAAAAATTATGGCCAGTATTGGAGTGGCCTTGTTTAGATTTAAACCTTTTTTAGAGTAAACAAACTTTAAAAGCAAAATGTGTGCTTTGATATTATTCCACAAATCTGTTTCATTTCCTTTAACAAATGCTGACAGTATGAATGCTACATATGATTTAATTTTATTGCTTTGCAAAGGAGTGCCAGTTGTGTGATATGAGGGCTCTTTAGAGAAAGGCCGAGAGTTCTGTTTCACAGCCGTGCTAATGTTGATACCTTTTAAAATTGAGTTTCCAAGTGGATAGCAAGGGTTAATCTCAGTGTACAGTATCAGGACGGGGTGAGTTTACAGGATTTAAGAAGATAGATTTGGGGTTTTGGAGTATATTTCAAATTTCTCACACTTGGAATTTAGTCCTGCATTTTTTGAATTTGGTGCATAGATACTGTTAATTGCAAGTTAGCTAACTTTCAACTTAGTTAACATAGGGAGGGTTTTCAGCTTTCCTATGATTTTTGCCATTAAGAAGTAATTTCATGCTATTGTGCTTATAGGTAAAATTAACAGTTTGATAACATTGGATTTAAAAAAATATTTATGTGAGAAAGTGGTATTATCAAAAGTAACTGAATTGCTAATTATATTTTTATTATAACTTGCACAATTTGCAGTAGAGATTTTGGGCCTAGTCATAAACTTGGTGGTTTTATGTCCTAAACCATTTTTGGTCTCATAGTTCCTTTTTTCTTTCTCTGCTATCTTATTTCTCTTTAACCAAAATTTTATGAAATATTATACATTGAAACTCTCAAGCCTTAATATGTTTAATACAGGGCACACATTTTATGATTACTTTTACTGTAAATGGTTACATCAGTTCCACTTCTGAGTATTAGGTGATAACTAATTCTTGAAGACTATAGGGGTATCATTGAAAGAGTTTTTGTAAGATGACCTTTACCAAAAGATGCAGCCATGCAAGAACTTCCAAATCTTTGATGATGGTGAAGGCTCTTTGAGACTGGGGCTGGTTTCTTATTCTGATTATGACTGCTAGCCAGCCCTGTTTGTGCTTGTGGTTTGGTGGGGGCAGAAGACGAGGGAAAAGGGACAGGTCAGGAGCTGACTGTGACCCGTATTCATGGGTCCAAGTTTCAGGAGTTGAATCCTATCATGATTAGTCATTTTGGAAACATCTGTGTACATTTAAACCACATTACTTTCATTCTGAGTTATGTATTTGAGTCTTTAACCCCTAAAAATGTCTAGAATTCAGGTTAATGTCTCCTAGACAGGTGTGTACATAGGCACAGAGTGCAGGGTCCAGGCCTTACTTCTTTTGTGGCTTTTTAGGCCATTGCATTATGAGAGCCTGTAACCAGAATTATGACCCTGAGGTCATAGAATGAAAGAGGCCTTGGAGATCAGAATCCAATCAGTGGTTTGAAGCCCCGGTTGCATGTTAGAATCACCTGAGAGCCTTTAAAAACTGTCGATACCCAGAGAGCCTGATTTAATTGTGCTGGTGGGTGGATTAGTGTTTATTGTTTAGGGAGGGGGGGGGGAGGTTTGCAGTTTCTCCGGTGATTCTAATATACAGCCAGGATGAGGTTTGTTGATCTGGTTCAGTGATGGAAAACCTTTTGAGCTCGGAGTGTCAGCATTTTGAAAAACCGTAACTTAACTCTGGTGCTGTGTCACATGTAGAAATTTTTTGATATTTGCAACCATAGTAAAACAAAGACATATTTTTGATATTTATTTTATATATTTAAATGCCATTTAACAAAGAAAAATCAACCAAAAAAATGAGTTCGCGTGTCACCTCTGACACGCGTGTCATAGGTTCGCCATCACTGACTAGTTCTTTAATAGGTGAAGAGCCTGATTCTTGAAGTTAATGACTTTTCTAAGCTCACACAGCTAGTTAGTACAGAGGTAATTAGTAGCCACAGTTCTAGAGATCTTTGTTCTTAATCACGCTGTTTTCCTCTTTAAATTGATCTTTTTAAAAGGTCATTTACTAAGTAATGTGTACCCTTAACATAAGTACAGGTTGCTTTCTTGAAAAACATATTTGTCTCTCAATCTAGTCTTAGTTATTATTTCAGCATCAGAAAGACAGATGAATGTTGATGGAGGCTGAGGAGTGCATCTGTTGTAGAGCTTTCCAGTGCCTATCAGTATGCGTATTTGGGAACTATGAAGTGACAAAAGTGGCAAAAAAAAAGATAGCATTTTAACAAAAAGAGGATGTTCTTGGCTAACTTGGGTTTGTTAGTTACCTGCTGTGCCAGGGAGAAAGGTGATTGCTATCCCACAGGTTCCCTTACCTCAGGCATTAAAGTAGAAGTGAATAATCAGATGTGGTTAAGAGGGGAAAAGGTTACATTTCTTTTAATTCCCATTAAACGTACTTGCACTGCACCCATAATTAAACTGTTGAGAATGGTTCCTCCTGACTTGGGCAGACCTCTAGGACTCCAGCGTTTACCTTGTAAGGCCTGTTTACCACTTGTCTCCTACATGCACGCACACACCTGCATTGCCCGCGGATCAGGGCACTGAGATATTATGCAGCCATGAGTTTCTGTGGTGGCTCCCACAGTTTCACAGTTGTAGGCTGCTGCTGCTGCTGCTGCTGCAGAGGGTGACTCCTCAGGAGACCGGGTCTTCCTTCGCAGGATAATGTGCACCCGTAGAGCATCTTCCCAAGGTGAAGAGATGAGGGCTGACCTGCCACATAAATCTTGTTTACGTGCCCACTGTTGCAGTTTTTTTTAGATTAATGCATTCAGTTCCTTTTCAACATACTGTATTAAGAAAATGTTATTTTAACCGCACTTTTATGTTTAAAAAATACATATTTAAAGTTTCAAAATGACAAAGTCATAATAATTCCATATTGTCTCATAATTTTGACCTCAGTCACCTTTGGAGTAACTCGCCAAAGGGCCGGTTGTGGTGGTGTGTGAGGAATCTGTCTTCTGCTGGGCCCATGTTGCCAGAACGCTGTTTTGTAATTTCCTTTGGCAGTGCTGTCATCGTCAGTGATTCTCAACTAATACACTTCCTCTTCCTACAGCAGCAATACACGAGGGGGACTGTTTTCCTCTTTCTCAAAGCTGTGTCATCCACCTATGAAGTGAAGAAACTGGCCCTTTTGGACTTTGATCTGTGAGCCCTATGTAGCAGAGAGACTCTTTAAAAAAGAAGTGAAGTGTTGGTTTTGATATGTTTATCTCCTTAGAAAATGAAATGAAACTATGCAGACTTATTTTTAGGAGCTTTTAGGAGAGCTCTATTTTAAGAGAATGACACCATACAAGAACATCTTGTCGTTAAACTTTTTAATACTCGTGATTCTTACTTAAAACCTGCAAGATATTTTTATTTGGTAAATTAATGGAGAGGCCTTGTCCCACTAAAAAGTCATTTACTTGCTCTGGAAAAGTTAAGCAGACTCCATCCATCCAAAGATCTTGATTAAAAAATGCAAAGATAAGACTTTTAGGCCTGTGCGTTCTGGTGAGGTATCCCACTTACCCATTGCTTGTTCCTGAAGCTGGACAGAGTATGGGATTTATTTTGTTTTCATACACATTCATCTCACCTGTAGGGAACAGCCTTGATCCTATGCTTGACTCCTCATTTTTCTCCACACCTTT